TCTTTCCCTGTCACTGGTCGGTTGCTTCATATGCTATAAACTCCTTCAACGTCTCGGCTTTCATCAAATCCTTATTCAGACTCTAAAGGTGTCCACACTCCTTTATGTCATGTTCGTGATCTTGATAATGCACAATACTTCTTTGGGTCCAAGAATTACACTTCGACTTTCATTGGGGTCGCCTTCTTTAAATAATCATTATTTTAGATAGCCTCCATTATCTCGACAATCGACTCTTAGAGGCATCTCATTAGGTATGTTGTTAGAAGGTAATGGTCATTCCTCATATCAAGCTTTGTTGTTAATCGGTGTATCAAGCTCAGTTCTCCTCATAATGGGTTTTGTCAGTCACCCAATTATTCAATTGTTTGTGCGAATCCTCAAGGAGAGATGAAAAAAGCGAGGGTTGTGTCTCTGCTTCGATCCTTATCCATGGGTGATTCTCTTTAGTGTATCACAATTGGCTTTCGCGGTTCTAAATGAAGCCCGAGGGGAGGGGGGTGTTATATGTGGTTGTTGGATAGCTACAACAACTCTGATAAAGTATTCTGTCACTGCAATCCTAGTAATTAACGAAAAAGGTATTTCCTTTAATCCTTATGTAAGGGCCACAAGAGCAATCATTGGTTATGAATCTTAAACATATGCCATGATTACTCATGTCGGTAATCCATTGAATCACCTAAGAGTAGGATCCCTCAGTGTGGTGAAGAAGAATCGATAATTCATTGTATTGTTAATCTTTAAATCACATACTATTGATTTGAAGGATGCAATGTGATCGGTCGGGTTTGTCAATCCCTCATAGTGTTCAAGCATCTGATCTCGAATTGTTCCAGTGGCTCGACATAGAAAATCTGCTGGGAGCAAGTGTTCTCAGGTTGTTGGAGTGCGTCAGCACACCCAACTTCATGCCTATTGATGGGTGTTGACCCAGTGCTGTCATGATATGTGGTTTCATCCTCACTTTCTAAGCCGAGAGTTGTTGGGGTTGCTTGCCGAGCTCCTGATTCAATGCTTCTATAATCATTAATAACACTTAATCCTCAAATATGGGATCTACTGGACCATGAATTTTCTGGTGCACTCTATGCTGTCATTAATCTCCCTATCGTAAGGTCATTCTTCTTGCATTGCTCCTCTTATTCTCGGTGACATGATCTAGGGTCATTGCACCTTTCAGGATGTTGAAATCGAGATTGTTTGTGAATCACACTTAAGAAATATAGCGTAAATGAGGAGAAAGAGAGAGACGAAGAATGACAAATAATGTTCAATTGTGTCTATCAATCATAAAAGATTTTCCCTATTTCTAGAAGGGATAATAACATGGGGATATTATACTTCATTTGGAAGGGATTTGTACTAGGGTATTTTTACTATTTTACAAAAGTGGGCTTATTGTCCAATTGCCTTCTGCCTCGGCTGACTAAGCTTGGTTGACCAGGGTCGACTGGGTCAGATTAGGCTATAGAGTTCAGATGACTGATCAACTCGGTTGACCATCTTTGATCCCTAGTGAGAAGCATGTGGGTCTCTATGAGATAGCCAAAGATACTTTGAAGAACTTACTTTTCTATTGGGCTGACTCCCCTGTAGGATAGGTTATTTCATCGAGTCTACTTTATTGTGAACGACTAAAATGCTCTTTTGTTTAGATTTCAGACGGATTGCATGCAATTGGATCACACGTCCGTCTTCTTGTCTACCTTGTGACTTGGGCAATTTTGACATAGTTAGCTTAGCTCTTTCACTTAGATGGGCCTTACAATCTTTTAGCAGTGGGGCTGTCTCCATCGTACTATTCTCTCTTGGACCTTTAAATCTCTTTAAGATAGTGCAAACAAGTTTTTGATGTGCAAATACTAGTTATAAAGTGGTTAAATTTTTACCCTTAAAAAGTATTTTTATAGAATTTAAATATTTGAATGATACATATAAATATGAATATTTATTTAGTTGATATAAGCGCCCCTTCATTTTGAATAGTACAATTTTAAATCGCTCAAATAAATATTCCACTGTGAAATGCAACATAATCATAATACAGTTTCTAAACATATAAATATAGATATAGCTATGCTTTAGAAATAAATTATATATAGATAAAATTAGAAAATAAAAAAAAATAATCAAGAATAACAAAAATCTAAGTAATTTAAAACAAATAATTGTTAAAAATTAAAGCATTTTAAAATTTTAATTTATTAATGCATATATAGTGGATTATTAAGTTATTAAATATCTGATCACAAATTTTTTATAAATTATAAAATTAACCAAGATCAAGTCGTGTTTAAGAAAATTATTGAAATACCATTCCTTTCTTCCCCTCTTTCGCTTTCTTGAAAACCTCCTCTATCTCTCCCTCTTAGATCTCCTCCTGCCCCCATCGATCATCGTTAAATCCGTCAGCGCTCTTCTGGTTCGGTTTCATCAGTGAAATCTTCTACCGACAACCTTCTCTAAAACATCCTCCCAGTTCTGATCCAAGATTCGTGCCATCGTGCCTCCCATCACATGGCATTCGGCGACGAAGATACCCCTTCCGCCCCCCTCAACGAGGACAAGGATCACTCCACCAGTCCATCAAACCCAACGCGATCCTTACCAGCGGCAGCGAACAACACAGACTCGATCGAAACCATCGCTCACAAAATCCAAGAATCTCTCTCCGTGACCAAGCGACACCGCTTCTGGGAGACCCAACCTGTCGGCCAATTCAAAGATATCGGCGACGCCTCGCTTCGGGAAGGCCCGATCGAGCCGCCGACCCCCTTATCGGATGTAAAACCGGATCCCTACACCCTCCCCGCTCTCTACGAGTGGACCACCTGTGACATCGACGATGACACCACCGCCGCCGAGGTATATACGCTCCTAGCTAACAACTACGTCGAGGACGATGATAACATGTTCCGCTTCAACTACTCCAAGGAATTCCTCCGTTGGGCTCTCCGCCCTCCGGGTTACTTCAAGGCCTGGCACATTGGTGTCCGCGTCAAAGCCAATAAAAAGCTCGTAGCTTTCATTACCGGCGTTCCTGCTAGGATTCGGGCTGGCAGCGAGGTTGTGCGAATGGCGGAGGTAAACTTCCTGTGCGTCCACAAGAAGCTGAGGTCCAAGCGGCTTGCCCCTGTTCTCATCAAGGAGGTCACCCGCCGTATACATCGCGAGGATATTTGGCAGGCCGCGTACACTGCCGGTGTTGTCCTCCCGACACCGATAGCCACTTGCCAATATTGGCATCGCTCGCTGAACCCTAAGAAGCTCATTGATGTCGGGTTCTCACGTCTCGGTGCGAGGATGACGATGAGCCGTACCATCAGGCTCTATAAGCTTCTTCCTTCGCCAGTCACCCCTGGGTTTCGGAAGATGGAGTTCCGTGATGTGTTCGCGGTAACGAGGCTGCTCAGGGATTACCTGTCCAAGTTTGTGGTTGCCCCAGATTTGGACGAGAAGGATGTTGAACACTGGCTACTACCTAGGGAGGATGTGGTGGATAGCTTCTTGGTTGAGAGCCCTGATAGTCACGAAATCACTGATTTCTGCAGCTTTTATACTCTTCCGTCTTTGATACTCAATAATGCAACTTACTCGAACTTGAAGGCAGCATATTCTTTCTACAACGTGGCCACGAAGACGCCTCTTTTACAGCTGATGAATGATGCACTCACTGTTGCGAAGCAGAAGGATTATGATGTTTTTAATGCATTGGATGTTATGGAGAATGAGTCCTTCCTGAAGGAGCTGAAGTTCGGGCCAGGAGATGGGATGCTTCACTACTATCTGTATAACTACCGTCTCAAACATGCTTTGAAGCCTTCCGAGCTTGGATTAGTTCTCTTGTAGACTCTGCCTTGGAACTTTTTTTTTTTGGGTAAGTTATTTCTTCACTACTTTTATGATCTTGTTTTTTTTTTTTTTTTCAATGAACACTTCAATGAACACTATATTTGTGGTTATCATTCTGTCCTGTTTTTGGTATGTCAAGATAGCTGTTTATGAAATTTTGAACCTTAACCTCTTTGCCTATGTTTGATGTTAATTGATAGGGTTAAGTACTTGCAGAATGTTTGTAATTTCAAACTTAGTAAATCATAAGTGCGTTAAGTCTTAAAAAATGTTTGCCATGGTAGCTATTGAATCTAACTAAAGCATGTTAAACTGTTTGCCTATTTATTTTAAGATTTAGAATTTAATTGAAAATGAAATTTAAACTTAAAAATGCTAGAAATTGGCGTTAATCCCAAGGACAATAAGTCATAATATAGTTAGTTTATTAAGTAGAATGTAATCTATTGAAACAATCTATTAATAATTTATTATTTTTGAATTTTTTATTTTTAATCGTTATTAATTGACTATTGTGTACTCTGTGAAGTTCATGGGACATGGGAGAAAGTGCTATAGGGTAAGAGATGCCTCTTTGAGGTTGAGAAGGTGGTGAGCTTTAAAGTCAAGCAAGATGTTCAAGGGGGATTTGAGCTTAGTCTGTCATTAAGGCACATCGATAGGAATCATTGATCACAAACATGAGGGATGCCAGTGGGAGGTCGTGATGGAGAGGTTAATGTGTGTTGGAGAGAGAGGAAAATTTTTTGCGATTGTGAGGGGGAGGTTGTCACATGGGGGATCATGAGACATTAGAAAGCCAAGGTTGTTCAAGGATTTATTAAACCCCGTTTACCGCAAATTGGATTTAAAGTGGGATTTAACATGAAAATAAGATTGAAGTATCCAATAATTAATTAGTTGGATTCAACTCAAATCTTTGCTAAATCCTGTTTAAAGCTTTGTATTAATAACCCCTAAATGATGGTTATGGATATTATTCTTAAGAAGAATGTTGAGTTGAATTGATAATTGCTTCTAACTTTTTTGGCTTGGCTAAAGTTGATTGAAGTTTGATTAAGTTCAGAGTGGTATATAATGTGACTTGGTAAATGGATACTCTTTTGGTCCTTTTGCAATAGTTGATATCATAGCTTTTATATATACTGAGGTTTGGTTAATGCTTCATCTCGATGAAATGATATTGTTAACATCTAAATTTGGCTCAGAGTAATTAATTGGATAGATTTATAAATGAGATCGGAGAACTTTGGTATTCTAGGAAGTGTGAGACAGAGAAGAGATGCTCTTAGAGGAGATGTAGAATGGAATTTTATTTAGTTTGTAGTTACATGGCTTGAATGGTGTGTTGTCCACTTCCCCAAATATGAGATCAAACTCCTTAACTCTTTTATTTTGCATGGGTTGGCTTTCTTTACTAGTGAGGTTCTGTGTATTGATGTTTCTAGGAAAGGTTTAAAAGTGTGAAATCAGGAATTGAGGCATTTTACTTTAGTGAGCCTTAAAGCAGAAAATAAAAAACTCATAAAATTAAGAATACTTCTTAAATTTATATCAAAATAAAGAAAATAATAAATTTATCGAATAATAAGATTTTAATGCAATAACAACATATAAAGGAACCGTAAGAAGAAAATAAGAATAAACATAACAAAAGACAAGCAATCCTGTTTTAATACAGTAGTAGTAATCATAAGCCATAACAGAGCTTTAAGAAGAAAATGCTAATTCACATGTAGCGTTGAGATCACATTCAGCTTTGAATCTGATATTATGTTCTAATGGGCTAGTTAAGTTCTTTTAAGCTGAAAGGCAATGTCAATTGAAATTTATTATTCTCATTAGAGCGGAATCTTTGCTCATTGGAAATGAGTGCTTTGTACTATGTTTAACTCTTAGTATTTGGACAATCAGTGGAAGAGCCTTTTCTTTAACACAATCATAATTAGCATTTGCAAGTTCCATACGGGTGAATGGTGATTTTAGCTGCCATAATTTGTTTGAGTATGATATCGAGCTTTGATTGTAATTCCTTGAATTGAGTTTGTTTCATATTTTTGTTGGCTATTGATGCTGTACCTTTCGTCCCTAGCTAAAATCTTCCTCTTGCTTGATTGATGATTTCTTTCTTTGGGTTGCTCACCACTTCACTTCAGATTTGCTAAATCTCAATGAGAGCTCCAAAAATGGTGTAGATGCCTAAATTTGGTTTGGAGCGAACAATGGGATACATTTATAGAGGAGATTGATGAGCCTAGGTATTTGAAGAGGGATGCAATAGAAAGGAGGATAAAGCTTTGGAGGAGAAAAAGAATTGAGTTTTATTAAGGTTGGAGTTGCATAGTTTTAATGTTGTTGCCGATATTATGAAATCGAGGGTTAAACTCCTTTGGTTTTTTCCCTTGAGGGACATCTCTTATATTCCACCTAGGATTGCTCATTTTCAGGGGAGAACCCCACCCCACCACATTTTGGTTCCCTTAGGCGCTTAATTTGATTTACTTTATGGATATGTGATTGGTGGTTTTCAAATGATATCATTTTCTTAATATATATTAAGGGTTACAAGTTGATCTTTTATCTTATGCATGATTTGTCCCCTTTAGGAGTGTGTTGACGATGTTTCGTTCTAGGCATTATCAACAACTTCCATTTTTGCATGTAAGGTGTGTACAGATTTTGTGCTGCAAAACCTTCATCAACTTTTTTCGGGAGCGCATCTTGTTGTGTCTAACTAATGGCATTGGTGCTTCCAATATTTGTCTATGTATATTGAGTTTGTAAGAGAGCTCAATTTGTCATGTTGCTAAGCAATTGATTTACCGAGATTCTTGCTTGATTGACTCGTTAGTTTTCATTTGAGATGGTTCTTCAACTATCTAGTTATAGTCTTTTCGAGTTAATCTCTCAGACGATGCCTAGTCAGTTGGCGGTAAGGTTTTGCGCATATAAGAAGGATTGATCTCAACCAAACTAATCAATTTGATTCAATTGTAGTATGGGTATATTTTTTATTCTGATTCTTAAAATTCGTAGAACCAATTTAATGTTTTGGTTCTTAGTTTTAATAATCAGATAATCCATAACTGAAAGGGACTCACCTTAAAATTTAAAAAGGTTAAATGTGGTAATGATGAAATTAAGTAGACAATGTTTGCATATAACTATTTTTTTATATTATAGATGATGGCCAAACAAAATAGACAATAATTGCATGCTTCTATTTTTCTATTAAGAACTCGGTGTGTGGTTGAGCTATTTGTTTGATTATATTCTTTTTACCTGAAAAGTGATTCTCAAGCACCTATATATAAGCAGTTCATAGTGGTTACACTTATAGAGGGAGCGGTCGATTGTTGTATATATTGTGGGAGTTTTCTCTAAATCAGATATTAGAATTCTGAAGCTCAAGACTTCTTGACTAATCACTTCTTTAAATCACTTCTTTAATTTACTCATGTAGATGACTCTGATTATTCCTCACAATGGGCAATTTTTATACTCAAAGACTTGCCAATATTATTGATTTTGTGTTGCACTGTTTCATTTGTTTGTAATCTATTGGTTGAGTTTTGCTTTTATTTCCCTTGCAAATGTAAGATATATGGTTACTTAGGGTATTATGTTTCTTGTCAAGAAAAAAATGTTTCTCTACTTAAAAGCACTAGATATTATAGATTGGTTATATTTATGGAATTTTTATGCTTTATATTTTAGAAAAAATACAACTGTGGTCCTAATCTTAAATGAGAAAAAAAATGAGATTTAATTTTAATTAGGTTAACAATTAGTCCTGATTTTTTTGTCAAAATCATTAGATTAACTCAAATAAAAAATTTAATTGTGTATGTTTGCTCCCAAAAAAGTCTCATTGTTTTGTTATTAAGGAAATATATACTTTTATAATGGCAGTAGATGAATATTACCTTGTTTTATAAAACATTATGCGGAAGCAAGAGCTTTTGTGAAGATGTTAGTGCGTAAAGAAAAAGCTACATCCATTTATAATTGGAAGATTTGCATACATACCACTCAATTCATATGTATTTACTTGTCAAGCACCTAAATTTCAATTTTTACATACATGCCATCTTGCCTATGCATGATAAAGTGTTTTTCATTTTTGTAAAAGTTAAAATCGTGCTATTTTTATGTGATATGAAATATTTGAGTGGTAGAAGTGTAAAAAATAAAGTCTATGTCTAGGTACTAAGGTTATATTTATGGAATTTTTATGCTTTATCCTTTAGAAAAAAATACTACTGTGGTCCTAATCTTAAATGAGAAAAAAAATGAGACTTAATTTTAATTAGGTTAATAATTAATCGTGATTTTTTTTGTCAAAATGATTAGATTAACTCAAATAAAAAAAAATTTATTTGTGTATGGTTGCTCCCAAAAAAGTCTCATTTTGTTGCTATCAAGGAAATATATACTTTTATAATGGCAGTAGATGAGTATTATCTTGTTTTATAAACATTATGAGGAAGCAAGAACTTTTGTGAAGATGTCAGTGCGTAAAGAAAAAGCTACATCCATTTATAATTGGAAGATTTACATACATACCACTCAATTCATATGTATTTACTTATCAAACGCCTAAATTTCAATTTTTACATACATGTCATCTTACCTATGCATGAAAAAGTGTTTTTTACTTTTTGTAGAAGTTAAAATCGTGCTATTTTATGTGATATGAAATATTTGAGTGGTAGAAGTGTAAAAAATAAAGTCTATGTCTAGGTACTAAGGATGTGGAAAAGGTGATGATTAAACATTAAAGTACCTAAATGATAAGAGCTCAAAAGACTTTAATCTATTTAGATGCATTGAAAGTCAATAATCAGTTCTTAGTTAAATCATAAAGGAAAGGGGAAATGCTACTTTTAAAATTATTGAATGTAAGTTCTTTTTAAGAAATTATTTCATTAAAGATTATGATTATGTCTATACTTTTGTTTTTTTTTTGTGGGTGTTGATGCTTATAAAATTTATATTTAATGTGAGTTGTCTTGATGTATTCTT